TCCCACAGGAGGTCAATCGTGAGTCTGAATAGTTCAGTGGTAACGTCTCTGACTGCAGCACTGGGTGATGCTGGTTCGAATCTCAGAAGGGATATGAGTTCCTTCAAGGTTGCAGATACGCCTTGCCGACTCGTGAGTGAGTGCCAACTAGCACGAAACCTAGGTTCAAGGCTTCCTGTGGCTGATTGCCTACAACCATCCAATATCATTACGTAATACGTGGTAGTGGCTAATTACTTAAGTACTTCATCATATTAACATTACACTCGACAAAACATCTAATTACTTCAAATAGTAAGTCTATGGCACTGTTCAACTGTACACAGTGTTAGTATATCTCTGGTATATTTTATGAGATTATCATTTCTGAATGAAAATTTATATTCATGCTAAAGCAGTCTGATGTCAAATGCGTTGAAAACCAACTACACCGTTGCATAATGTTGTTTAGTGTAGTGCGTCGGAGTAGAGTTTGTATTTAAGCTTACTTTCCTTAATTTCTGCCTAATATACCTTCCTAAAGATAACTCTGGTACTGTATTTTTACAGTTTATGCTATATAGAGGGCTGACGCCATTATTGCAAAAAGTTTGGGAAGGAAGGAAAGGTACCTACCGATTGGATGAAAGGCTACCCTGTCAAGCTACCAATGAAGGACGATTTAGGCCCTACGAGAACTGACTGGCATGGAATAATGCTCTTGTCCACACCAAGTAAAATACTAAGTCACTTCATCCTGGAGAGACTGAAAGATGCACTGGATGCAGAAGTGTGACAGCCTGGAACAAACTTAATTTAGGAAAGACAAATCATGTGCTGATCAAATTGTAGCTCTACACATCGTCATTACAGAACAAAGAATAGAATGGCAGTGTTATGACTGGAACTACGACCTAGTAGACTATGAGCGAGTAGTAACTTAATGCGTTGGCTTTTCTGTCCTAATCGCACGCCAATAACTACAACAGCAGTAACACCACCGGGCAGCAAAGACAGAAGAAAAGACTGGACGTTGACAAGACAGCTTTTACTGTCTCTAGCATCAGTCAAAAAAGGTTAACAGCAGTTGCGTAATGACCTTGAGAAACACTAATATCATCGATAAATTAAGACAGTGAATAACCAGCAGGATTTCAAAGGTCATAAGTAACGTGAGAGAAAATTCGTGATAAATGAATCTGGGGTGAGAGAAGGACAAACAGACATATAAAAGTGATAAGTAGGAAATTAGGTCTACACATCGGGCAGTCAACCTCTACCGCAATTTCATCGACTTCGAAAAGCCTTCGACAGCGTTGACTGATAAATGATTTGAAACCACCTCAACACTACCACGTGCAGTGCTCATTCAACAGTTGGCTGTATGACAGTGCCAAGTATCGGGTGATCCTCGACGGAAAAATCACTCAACGAGGCGTTCGAAGTGAATACAGGAGTTAGACAAGGCTGCATGCCGATTATCACCAGTGATATTCCTAATTGTGGTGGACTAGATTATACATCAGGCTGTGCGAGAGGAGTCAGAAGATGGCAACACGCTGAAATGACCAATAAGAAGACTCTAGAAAATCTGGATTTCGCAAATGATTCATGCTTAATGTCACAAAAACTTGAAGACCTGTAGGCAGGCAAAAACCAATAGACTGGCTGAAGAGGCTGGTAGTGAAGATAGGATTCCCGGAGAACATACAGAAGACAGAGGTCATGAAGATAATGAGCCAACCGACAACAACCAGCGCCAATCACCATCAACGGGAGAGACTTAAAGGAGGTCACCTCCTTCACTTATCTGAGAAGCATCGTTTCAGCCACATGCTCACAGCACAGACGAAGATATCAAAGCCAGCCAGCCAGCCAGCCAGAATTGGAAAGGCAAGATACGTCTTCATCAATCTGAAATCAGTCTGGAAATCTTCTGTTCTGACTCAACATAATGAACAAGGTTTGAATTTTCAACACAAATGTGAAGTCAGTCAGTTTTTCTACATTTATCAGTCACGGAAAGTGTTTTTACAACATGCTACTTCAGACTTATATCAACAGCTACCTTTGCTGACTCCATACTGAGGATCTAATGGCCAACCAAAAAGAATTAGCAACAAGAAACTCTTGCAGTGGAAAAATAAACCAAGAGCTGATCGCTCAATAAATATGTAGAAAAACTGGAGATGGACTGGGGATATGCTGGGGATGCCGTCAAGTGACATCGCGCTGAATGCAGGCCATCTCTCGAGTGAAATCTCAGTGGAAAAGACGAGTGGGTCACTGGTGCGTGGGTGACATGGAGGAGATCGTGTGGCGAGGAGGAGATGAGAGATTATGGTCAATCGTGTACCCGGCTGAAGATTACAGCAGAAAATAGAACAAATTGGAGATGTGTTATTGAAGCCCTATATTCCACTCGGAACCCTTGGGAATAGTGATAATAATCATGCTAAAGAGGCGGGGGAGCTTGAGCACAATAATAATTATTATTATATCCTTTAATTCCTAGAGGAACATAGAGCTTCAGCCGCGCATCTCCATTGCCTTCGGTTTTCTGCCAACGTTTTCACCCGCTCCAAGTCTGCCCACATGCTTTCATCTCCTCTTCACATGACCTCCTCCAAGTCACCCTTGCACTGACGACCAACTCGTCGCTCCCCTTTCGGGTTCCACTCGAGCAATGGCTTGTGTAGTAATGTCACTCACTTGATGGTTTCCTCAGAGTATGGCCAAGCCAATCCATCTCCATTTCTTCCTGCATATTTGTTTCACAATCGGTTCCTGGTTGGTTCGCTCCCAGAGGTCCCTATTGATGGTCTTTTCTGGCCATCTGATCTTGAGTATTGAGTGAAGACAGCTGTTAATGAAGGTTGAAGTTTGTTTGAGGTACTCTTTATGAAGCGCCAAGTCTCTGATCCATCTGTATAGTAGCACTGACTGACTCACATTGGAGTTGAAAATCCGGATGTTATTTTTGATTCTGAGTGCTGTTGACCTCCACACAAACTTAACAGTAATGAAAGCTTGTCTTGCTTTTCCGATTCTGGCTTTGATATCCTCGTCAGTTTCCGCCTGTAGTTGAAACGATGCTTCCCAGGTAGGTAGGTAGGTAGAGGAGGCTGTTTCTTTCAGGTTCCTCCCATTTATGCTGACTGTCGTCTGTTATTATTGTTGCTGTTGGTGTTGGCCAGGAATCTTCATCACCCCTGTTTTATCTATGTTCACCCGATGGCCTATCTTGTTTGGATGCTTCTTCTGCCAACTTGTTGCTTTTCACTTGCATATCTTCCAGTTTGTGGGAAATCAGACATATATCATCAGCGAAGTCCAGATCCTCCAAGTTTTTGTCTGAGTCCATTTTATGCCTATTTCCTTATTGCCCGTCGTCTGTCGTATTATCCAATCTACTGCAATCAGGAAGATAATTGGCGATAGTAGACAGTCTTGCTTGAGCATGAAGTCAGTATGAATTGCACAAAGAGACGTTAGATGGCATAGCTAGTAAGCAGATATGTGCAAATTAAGCAAATATATATTATCACTTGTAATGAAAAATGTGTCGCTAAGTATGACTCGTAGCTGAAGAGAATCTTCAGTAACAGAATAATGTTGGGGCCTAATCAATACTTCAAATCTTGTATCTAAGTCTATACATTGCCAGATCAATGATGTAAAGATCGCTATCCATTTCAACTTCGATCACTATTAGATCGGCTTAACTGAACCGAGGTTATCAGTTTTATTCTCAGCAAAATATGCGATGAATAACTGGATCCATACTACATCCCGTCTGTGGAACAGTGGTCGAATGCTCGCCAACCACGCCTCATGTGGTCTAAGGTTCGATTCCCAGCCACCAACACACCCTTTACCTCACTAATCCAGTAATAAGACGGGTAAAGAGGGGAGGTTGGGCATGAGGCTAGCAACCCACCCCGTAAAAGTAAGCACCACTGTTACGGAAACTTCAAGCCTGTATATTGAAGCCCTATGTTCCACTGGGAAAGTAAAGGAATAAAAAATACCACATCCCGTGTTGTTATTCCGAATATTTTTCTACTTGTTTGTTAAGGGTTTGTGCACCGGAATAGTCTATGAATGTTTCATTGCACATAAAACTCATCATCTGGTTTCATTGAGTCGAAATGTTCCATTTGTGGAAAGTAAAAGATTATTGTCATGACCTACTCAAGAAATCTCTGGTTTTTAAAATCCCTGATAAACCCACCATCCACTTGAATAAAAGTCTCAATGGACGGTTATAATTATTCATTCAAATTTTCTAGTGTCGCAATAATGTTTTAAAGTGACATTAAGTATAGATTTTTATTTAAGAGGAATCACAAAACAGTTCTAACAGTTGGTGTGGATAAGAGCAGCAATTTGCTCGAAATATTACCAACAATAACAAAAACTTGTCATTGTGCATAAACCATTGAAACATAATTATACTTTATTTGATCTATTCCACAATGCTTAAACTTTTTACTGGCATGAATCGAAATACATTTTCGCTTCGAATTTCTTTTATTTCCTTCCAATTGCAGGTTTTTTAAGCCAACAAATCAGATTCGCCGAAATATAACGGGGTGTAGAACAATCAAAGAAGAATATATAAATCAAGCATTGTGATTGGCCAATAAAATAAACAATATTAACCAATCAAAATTAAAGCCGTAATTGGTGAATTTTTGCGAAGTTTATATTCTAGTATGGTTGTTTGTTGTTAAAATTAAATCTTTCCATTTCGAAATTGGGTATGTTCATACGCTAATCAATCAATATATTATGCACTAATAATGTTGGGAGTTTTTTTTAACATGAGCATACTTGAACTACATTGCAAGACTTGTACATCTCCAGGGTTACATACGCTCCACCATAAAGGCTAGGAATTTTGAATTAATGATTATTTTCTTGTTTACATAACAATTCTGTTCAAATCACTGTGAAACTTAATATCTTATATCCATTGTAAACAACTGGTAGTAATTCTTTTGATTTCTTTTTTTAGCAATGACAGTTACCAAGATTATTTATTGATTAAACTGTATTTCTACAACCACCCCCCCCAACTTTTCTTTTTAAAAAATCAGTGATATTCTATTCCCTTTACATCAAAATATGTGGATCCAAAGTTGGCATGAGAACGCTTATCACTGCAACAATCAGCCGTCTGTTGAACGCTTGTATTATACACAACCCTATGAATACAACAGCTCAATTTATCCAAATGCAATACAACAAAATGATCTTGAAATGAATACAATTTATCCCCAGACTATTAATAGTGATAATAAGAATAACAGTCCTATAGATACTAAAGTTCCAGTACCATTTTTACATATTCCTGACACATCTGACACTATTAGTAATATCAACAGTGATACAAATTCAATGAATCCATCAAATTTTATATTATCATCCACTATCTTACCAAATCATTGTACTACCTCAAATTCATCAACTAAATCTATCATTTCAAATAAAACCATGTCAGCTGCACACTTTCATGATATCCCTACTGGTAATAATGGTAATAACAGTAATCAGAATGAGGTAGTAAAAAGTGAAGGAAGCACTCATGATTCGTTTTTGAATAGTCGTCAATCTACGCAATGGGATATACTAATGAATAATGGTATAACTACTTCTACTACTGCTATTCCTATTCCTACTGCTGCCGCCAGGACATTGACAATGACCACTACTACAGCGACCACCACCGCTGACGATGTCACTACTAGTAGTTATAATGATAATGATAATAGTAGTAACGAATATAAATGTAATATGGATAATAAACATTTCTATCAACGCTACATTGATGATGATAATAATAAATCGATTAATATGAATAATCATTACTTTAATCAATGCGATGTATTTACAGAGAAAAACAATTCAAGTAAGTTGATAATCAGATCACCTTTTAATTGACTGATTGACTGATTCATTCATTCATGTATGTTCATACGATTTTCATCATAACTGACTAACGAAGTGACACATCAGTAAATACTTTTATGAAATTTATCCTTAGGTTGATTTGTCTTTCCCATTGATTGATTATGTTGGACTGAAATGTTTGGTCTTTGTTGAAATGTTGCCTCGACTAGACGTTTCATAGTGTATACTGCTTTGGAGATTGAAACGATGAGTACAAGGTTATGTGTCCTAAGAATGCCTATCGGTTCGTCGTAGAATTCTTAGTGTAAACGAATTCATCGGCATGACTGAATGACATGTTATTTCGTGAACCGTTAATCGCTCGAATCCTGTTTGTTTTTAATATCACCCTCTAGGTAGTTGGTAACGCGCCATCATCCAACAGGTCAATTAAATCAGGAGAATGATTAATAGTGTTGCCAATGTAATTAATTGTTGTTGATTACAGCTTGATTCACACTGTATTTTTGGTGCAAGTATGGAATTTTCAGCATGGATATTGGTAGCCTAAATTTTTCAGGCCGACCATAGATGTGTGCGTCGGCAGGGGATCGAACCTCAGATCATGTGCATGGTTGGCGAAAGTCCTAACCACTGTGCCACCGACGCAGGATTGGATGACGATAATCGTGTGTAACTCCTCTACTCATCTGTGCGGTAAAGTGTTCAAAGGTATTACAAAATGTTGAATAATGGGTCTTTCCTTAAAACTTATTATCCAAACAGGGTTGAAATACAAGATAAGGATGATACTTTTTGTTCAACGTCATTTTATTGGTCGTTCACATGAGTTAGCAGTTTTATTCTTACCCCAATAGACATAAACTAAAAAATTATCAGAACAGTGAGCATTCATAATTCTCTAAGGTAAGATATCATTCACTCACTGAAATTAGAGTCAAACAGTTCAATATTTTCAACTTTAATGAATTTACAGTTTCATTGAATAATAACACACTTTACTAGTGTACTTTATGATCCACACAAGAATATAAGTGGTTCATGGACCGCTTAATTCCAATCCAGTGTTTTGCTTGTAGTCCGAAGGTCTCAGTTTCCATCTCTGGTGATGTTGTGAGTCTGCATTGTAGAAGACTCTGTATCTAGGAGGAAACAGTTGTCCAGTGGTCTCTAGTTTTAGTAGCCAGTGATTTGAATTGATTTGGCTGTCTGAGCTGAGTCAAACTGGATGATAAACTGCTGATGAGCTCTATCCCAAACGGGTGAAACAAACATCCGGTGTTTAGGTCACTTTGATCTGACTAACAATTACTACCGGTTGATTTGAATGACATCCAACTACTCGTATCAATCAGTCAGTGGTACATACTGCCATACATGATTGCTGGCTTCCTTGATTTCCCCTTTACGGTACCAAGCAGATCATATATTGTGATCTGAACGATTTCAGTTCCCGAAACGATCAGGTGAAATTTCATTCTACAAATTACGACAATCGATTAATTCTAAAACTGTAGACAGGTGTTAAGTACTAGGTTAAGGCATCTGGGCAGTAATCATCCATGACCCCATCACAGATCGAATCCAGGACCTCCAGATTATTAGGCAATCCTGTTGAAACTAATCAAATCCCCTCAAACTAACACTTGAAAACTAATTCAATACCCATAAGTTAGTGACTTCAGGGTGAAATTGTGTAAATCCCTTATGAGAATTCATAACCAACAAAGTTCAGTGAGACTGGCCAGCAGGCAGTGGGGTTATAAATCACGAACCGACAAAAGTTAGCATGCATAGATCACTGGATTGCACTCCAATAGCTAAATGGTCAACGACTAGCCTAATAACCTGAAGGTCTTAGGTTAGATCCCTGGTAGTGGGGGCATGTATGCGTACTGCCGAAAAGTCCTAAAATGAGTTAAAAACAGCGGTTCATTATTCCTTGGTTTTAAAAGGTTCTCTAACTTAATATCAGTCCGTTATCTTGATTGGAGTGTACTGGTCAATTTAAACCGTCATAATACACTTAAAATGCTAAACTTTTATACAAGCAAACTAGTGCTAATCAAAATTATATTATCAAGTGAAAGAATATGAATCAACCAAATTCATTAGTTACCAAAACTCATAAGCCAAATCGGCAAACCGCTATATCAATAACCTGATGGCTGCCAGCATCATATTTATCAGTCTTTTTCTATGCTAGTTACTACTCAACTGTAGGAAAAGCATTTTAGAAGTGTTTCAGGCACAAAATTATAGTATGTCTGTGAATAAAGTTTCAGCGGAGTGATATCAATTAGATAATCATTGAAAATCAGGGAGTAATAGATGGACGGCTGTTTCATCCTAGTTCGAGACACATCGGAAGTACGCATCCACTAGGGTTCAAACCCAGTACTCTCCAATTACAAGAAAGTTTGTAGATTATTCAGCGACTGATACTGACCCGATACAGTCGCCGGTCATGAATTTCAACTTCTACCAAATTCGTGATTTTTTTTAGCGTGACCACAACCCAATGTCACGGTTTATGGAGTATTCATCCTCACAGATGTCTGCGATCTCTGTCTCACGTTAGGTGGTTTAATAAGGTAAGTAATGTTGACGTTAGGCGTAGAGTGTTGGGCAAAGAGGGAAAATCAATCGACGAGGCTATGAAATTACATAGAATAAGATGGCTAGGTCACGTGCTGCGCATGCCTAACCACCGCCTCCCCCGACGGGCATTGCTAGCTGATATAGGTGAAGGTTGGAAAAGAGCCAGTGGTGGCCAAACAAAAATATGGCCTCATCAATCCATGAAATCCTTTACAGTTAAACTGAGTCAGGTAGGGAGATGCAGACTCCCGGGTTGGGGCCCTCGGGACTGACTCTAGGAATCAATGGCTGGAGACAATAGGTGACATGGCTCAAAATCGTTGTCAATGGCCAGCGCAGATGTATTCAGTCTCTGTAATCTTTCATATTCCTTTCTACCATTATCCATTCTGTTTCACTCTTATACTTGTCAAACTCTATTGATTCTCTTCACTCATCTTCTTGTCTACCTCTGTGTGCTATTTGGAACGTGGTAAACTCGAACTGCTGCACTTTGGTGCCAAGTTCTATGTTGAATCCAGACAGACAGACATTCATCCTCATTCCTGACCGGATGAACCCCAGTGGTCGCAGCTTCTCACTAGAACTTCGGTCAGCTTCATCCTGTGACGAGGGTTCGAACCCCAGGGAGTGCCTACTATTAATGAGTCCCAAGTTTGGATGAAACAGCTGCCCGGTACGCTAAATAACTGTTTATTTCGAGCTCGATGCTCGTCAGTAGGCTACTACTGTCTTGTCCTCTTCGCATATTGTAGTAGGAGACCATTTCATTTTATATAGATATCGCATTGTTATTGTACAGAATAAACTGAAATTTCATTATTACTACTATTCGTTAATTTTCTCAATCAAAAAATATACAATTCACGTTTGGATAGGTATGTTTACTGACCACAATAAAAATGGCATTTGTACTAATGTCACTGGTAATATTAGCGGTAATATTGAATTAAAAACTAAGCCTATCTTTATATCCTCATAGTAAGTGAATACTAATTCCACTTGACTGACATTCATTCATTCATCAAAGTAGGATCCTACGGAATGAGACGTTTGTTTCCATATTCAATAAGTTTATTTGACAAAACATACAATCGAACCGTAATAATCCAGTTATTACCGCTATGACAATCATTGTGTTATGCATCAAATAAAATTATCTAATATGGACTTACATATTCTACCACAGTGCCCGAATTCCACCGTTATATTAATAAGTTTGTTTTCAACCAGCTGTCTTCTGATCACAGAGTTATTTCAGTAATTTTGTCACTGGATGATATCAGTTGGGAACCTACTGAAAACCACAAAGGACTGGATATTGCTTTCATCTTCAGTTTAGGACCCTTTAGAAGTACACAACCTTGACCTTACCAAAATCTGCTCTGAAGTTGATACTTTCCACAGGGATAAAAGAGTTCCATACTTGGGTATAACAACTTTCTAATGTCCCTTGTTTTTACTGACTACTGACGAAAACTCTATAATCTAAATAATTATTGATTATTTACAAACTATTGCGTCCTTATATAGTAAAGCTTTAGATAATGTTTTCTTTCCTACTGTTATTTGTGTGTGTGTGTGTGTGTACATCAATATGAGTTAATCTCAACTGTGTTTTGAAGTGGTACAAATTTCTTCATTGGTAATAACTGTTTGTTAGTTTGTGTTTATACTGGAACTCACCAACAGGGAAATAACTTAATCCATATTCCCTTCGATAGTTGGAACTTGTTGATGTCAACACTGAGGTTAGTACAGTGTACCGCTTAGCTACTCAGGATTTGATTGCCAGATCACTAGATGAAAACCTATACAACTATATAATGCTTAGTGTTGGTCAATTGGTTTAACAGTTTTAATTGATGTTACATCCTTAGCCATTTCAGTGACAATAATCCAAGTTTCGCGCTTGTCAGCACTTATCAACAAAGCGTACCATCAGCAATTCCCTGTGTGGCCCTTTTTGTGTTAGTGGGTAGAAACTTCTACAAGGTAAAAGAGTCTAGTGTTATCAAAGTTAGATTTATATTCACTGAGTAACCCCTTGAATTAAATCTATAAATAATCAAACAACTAAAGATAAATGGTGCGTCGGTGGCACAGCAGTAGAATGCTCACCAGCCACGCTTCATGTGGTCCTCGGTTCGATCCCTGGCCACCAACGTACTCCTAAACCTTGCTAAATCGGTAATAAGACTGGTAAAGAGGAAAGGTTGGGCGTTAGGCTAGTATCTCCATCCTGTAAAAATAAACACCACTGCTAGCGAAACTTCAAGCCTGTAGTTTGAGGGCCTATGTTCGACTGGAAACGTCTAAGAATGAAAAAGGATGCACGAGTCTATGTTGACTGATAACTACGGGTTTAACCGATGCAATCACTATCGCAGTTCGCTGTTGGTTGCTAGGAGGAAGTTGGAAGTAATAAGTTGGATGCCGTACACGAGATTAGTCTTGTCCCTAAAAACTGCGCTGTAATCTGCTCAACTCTAGGATTGGTTAACATGGATTCAAATACCTGTATATGGCGATGAAACATCACTTCCTTCGAGTTTGTAGATACTCCTTGCTTCACATCTGTCAATGTCCACTAAACGTAGATGTACGGCATCCAGCCGATTATCATATAATTTCAAGGCATCCAACTAAATACAACAAAAATGTTTAATTACCTATGATTAAATCGATTAACAGATGCTTCGACACTGTCTGAGAATGGACCTGAAGCAGTTTCGTGAACAGTGACTAACAATGGGATCCAGGATACTCACTTCGTCCTATTTGAGACGCGTTATCTGGATTTACTTGCATTCTCCACTGAGTGATGGTGTTCTTATTGAGACCCAAAACCAGTTCAACCAGTCAACGGGAAAATCAAAACCGAATTAAAAACAAATAATAACCAATGCCAGTTGCATCAGAGATAGCTCTCTTGGCCCAAGTGGTCTGGTGGATAATGCTTTGGCGTTTCAAACAATGGGTGCTGGGTTCGAGTCGCAGTGGGAACATCAGTACTCACCGGGGAATGCAGATACATCCAGATGACTAGTCCCAAATGGGATGAAATATGCGTCCTGGATTCCTCTGCTACTTGCCATTCTTCAAATTACTAGAAGCAGTTTATTTTTTTGCTCGTTGGTTCTCAGTCTTTCATTAGCTCCTATGAGTTTATGAGATAGTCTTGTATCCACAAAATGAATTAAGGTTTAAAATCATTTGTGATCATATTTGTGATTTGTTAAATTAACCAGTTTCATTTTGACACATGAACTCCTCGAACAGATAGATGATCAGATATTTTCATCATAACTAAATCAGAGTTATTCGTTTCGTAGTGGCTAGCACTGGAATCCAGGTTTCGTCGCACATTTAGTCTTATTTGGGACTTGTCAGTTAGATTTATCCATTGCTAAAGAGGTTACTACTGTCGTCATTCCTGTAGCCTAGTGGATAATGCTTTAGCATTTGAAGTAATGGATACTTGATTCAAATCACAGTGGATGCACTACCAAACACTGGAATGCAAGCACACCCAACTGACGAGTCCTAAGCAGAGCGAAACACATGTCCTAAACGTCATTGCTCTCTACCACTAGACAAGTTACTTTTAATTATAGTCTATCCAAAGTGGTTTAGAATAGATCAGATATTCAGTGTGGTGTTGATCTTTTTGCTCTAACACACAGTGTCCATCATTTGTTAATGGTTTAATTCAAATCTGAAAGTCATTCAATGTCAATTCATTCTCTGTGTTTTCCCTAAGCTCTTAACTGGTCAATCTGATATATATATATATATATATATATATATATATATATTATTTTTTATTTGACAAAATAAAATGTTTTTTTAGAAAAAAATTGGTACTTTTGAAATATAACGATGTTTTTAAAAAAACAAAATAAAATAAAGTAATTTATTAGGTCTTTTAAATGGAAATTTGATGATAATATTCATTGTGGTTGAAATCACCACACCTACTCAATTTTTTTATTATTATTATCATCACAATTATTATTTTGATTGAATTGTGTCTACATCAATGATAGTTTGTCAGTAGAGGAGTGTGATGTAGTTTGTTTTCTAGATTAAACTTATCTACATTTTTGTGTGAATGTTAATTATCGCTGTTCAAAAAAATTAAAATAGTCACAGTATTTATAAATCTTTTGTTTCGTCTAATATAATATCAGACTTAACAACGTCATCATCGTCACCATCACAGTTAGTTATCCTGACTGTCCGAATAGATGATAACTGAAGATGAAATAAATGTTGGAGTTATAGTGTTGGCGTTACTATCTATTTCAGTGGACTTAGAAGATCCATTTTTATTAATGATGAGTCAGTATTAACTGATTAAAAAGGCCCATTAAAAGTTGTTTTTTTCAAAAGAATGGTTACTGAACAAAGAATACTCTCTGTTCAATAACCTCCTCTTCATCAGGTTCTACAGTTATATATACATTATAGTGAATGAATTAGTGTTATGAACATCATTAATGTTGTTTAAATAACATCGAATCAATGATACTGATAGATTACAGCTCAATAGCATCAACATAAAATTAGGAAAGATAATATTACAAATTCATGAATTTATAGTCTCTGCGGAAGGCTGGCCAGGGCAGTAGTAGGCGCTGAATCTATGAATCTAAGCCGGTCTCATATAATCTCACTGCCAACTGAACAACATGCCCTCTTTCTTCTAATTCAGTAATTATTTGCAAGTGTTTCTTAGTAGACATATATAACTGGTTTCAAGTTTGGCCACAGAATGATATTAGTTAGAGAGACAATGAAAACCAGGGAGTACTAGATAATTGTTTCATCCCAGTCTAGGAGTTTTCATCAGTACATACCTATGACTGTACCAGGGATTGATTGGTATCAATCTGTGATTAGATTTGAAACCAATCAAATCCTTATAAACTGGCACTTGCAAATTAATCTGATGTTCACTAGTGACTGATTATAGGATGGAGTTGCTTGGTCGTTCTAGTGAGAAGTCGTACCCATTGGGATTCTCTATGAGGACAAACACTTGCCGTTGACATCGGCTGGTGTGCACTAGAGCCAAAATTAGCAAAATATGATGGAAGTTAAAACTCATGGGCCACTGAATGGCCCTCCAGTGGCTAAATGATCAGTAGACTCACCTCGTGACCTGAAGAGTTCAATCCCCAGCAGGGTTGTGGCTGCATGCTGCCAAAGAGTCTCCTGTACGACCTGGTCTAAATCACATCGTTCTGTGATCGGAATTGAAACTAATCAGTAGTGACTGGAACTGACAGGAGAAGACCTTACTGATCAGTCGGTAAAGTCAAATTGACAGTTATGCGTTATTCATTTGCAAGAACGCTACACACAACTCCTGATATATGCGGTGATTTAATTATTAATTACGTCTTACTGCTCAGTTGTAGAGAGCGCCAACCTAGTAATCCGGAGGTTACTAAGAACGTTTTTGTCTCACCCTCAATAATAATTCAGTATATCAATGGTAATCTGTCAACCTAATTCTCTCTTAATGAGTAATTAATAATAATGATAACAGCTTCATTTTGGGGACAAAATGCTTATACACTATAAAAAAAATTTCAGTGTCTTTTATAGTAATCATATCTACTCTTTTTCCAGGAGCTTCAAGTGAAACAGTAATCAGTAATAATATGGTAAGATGCAGAGTAATCCACAACGGGAAACTTACGGAGGCCTTCGAAGTGAGGACGGGAGTGAGGCAAGGCTGCCTACTATCACCAATGATCTTCCTGATTGCAATTGATTGGATAATGCGACAGACAACGGCAACCAACGAGGGAACAGGCATAAAATGGACTGACACAAAAGACTTGGAGGATCTGGATTTCGCCAATGATATATGTCTGATTTCCCACAAACTGGAAGATATGCAAGTGAAAAGTAACAAGTTGGCAGAAGAAGCATCAAAGATAGGACTTCAAGTGGACATAGATAAAACAGAGATGATGAAGATTCCTAGCCAACATCAACAGCAACAACAACAACAACAGACAACAATCAGCATAAGGGGGAAGAACCTGAAAGAAACAACCTCCTTCACCTACCTGGGAAGCATCGTCTCAACTACAGACGAACGAAACTGACGAGGATATCAAAGCCAGAATCGGAAAAGCAAGACAAGCTTTCATTACTCTCAAATCTGTGTGGAGGTCAATAGCACTCAGCATCAAAAATAAGATCCGGATTTTCAACTCCAATGTGAAGTTAGTGCTACTCACTATACGGATCAGAGACTTGGCGAGTCATAAAGAGCATCTCAAACAAACTTCAAACCTTCATTAACAGCTGTCTCCGCTCAATACTCAAGATCAGATGGCCAGAAAAGATCAGCAACAGGGATCTCTGGCAACGAGCGAACCAACACAGCAGGAACCGATTGTGAAACAAATAGGCAGAAAGAAATGGAGATGGATTGGCTGGCCATACGCAGAGGAAACCATCAAGTGACATCACTAGACAAGCCATCGCTCGAGTGGAACCCGAAAGGGAGGCGGCGAGTTGGTCGTCCAAGGGTGACTTGGAGGTCATGCGAGGAGGAGATGAAAGCATGTGGACAGACCTGGAGCGGGGTGAAAACGCTGTCAGATAACCGAAGGCAATGGAGGTGCTCAGCTGAAGCCCTATGTTCCTCTAGGAACTAAAGGATACAATAATAATAATAATAAAATGCAGAGTGTTGTTCGATCTGAAACAAAAGTCAGTCCTTCATAATATTTCTTCTTCGTCTCCTTTAAGAAATAAATGCCCAGTAGTAGGTTAAAAGTCTACTGAAAATATGTATGAGTACATTTTTTAACCCATACATACATCTGAATAGTTAAAACACTAAAAAACTGAAGAAAATCTGATATATTGTATTTAATGGAATATCATGTAGCCAAGTGATTTAAGCGAACCGCTCATGTTAATCAAATTCACTGATCGAAATTCACAAATTCCTAGGTGAAATTTCACCACAGTTTTCAGGAACAATTATGTGAGTCATACGCAAATACTCACATCAATCAATTGACAGAAAATAGCATCATGAAAAATCAGCTTTGTTAATTTATTTACTTGATGACGTTATAATTTAAGTAAGGCAAGAACAACGGGTCTTGCAGATTAAAATGGTACCATCATTTATTTCATTGGCTTCTAATCAGCTGCCTACAGCCCAAAGACAATACTAAGTATATCTACAGAAATTCTTATATTATTAGAATTATAATGCCTTCAATAGTATATAAATAAGGAAAGGAGTAATTTATCAGAACATAATGGAATGTTCTTAATATTGAAACTAACTAATCTCTTGTATTTGATTGCTTACACCAGTTGATTAGTACGTGTACTAACAAATCAACTCGAGAACACAACAATCATTATTTATGTGTGCTGTATAGTACTATTTTGTTAATTTACACGGATTAAATTGATCTACCCCTTCCAGTATATCTGTTTATTTATAAGATGCCTAGATGGTTCTGTAGTGTTTTGAAACAATGCGTCCTGAGTTCCAGTTTCAGCGAAAACGCAATCACTCATTAGAATAAGGATACATCCAGTTGATGAAATTCTAAAAGGATGAAATACTCCTCTTGAGTTGCAGCATTGGCCAGTGAAAAGCATAGTGAATACTTTTCGTATGTTTTTACTATTGCTTATTTTCTTTATTATTCCTTTGGGTTCCGAGTGGAACATAGGGCTTCAACAACACATCTGCATTTTCTTCTATTTTCTGCTCTCCTCTTCAGCTGGATCTACGATTGGCCATAGTCTCTAATCTCCCCCCCTAGCTCCACAATCTCATCCATGTTACCCTCGGACAACTCACTAGTTGCTTCTCATTTAGATTCCACTCGAGCGATGGCCTGCATTGCGCACGATGTTATTCAACTGCCTCCTCAATATATGTCCCATTCATCTCCATTTTCTGCATATTTTTTGATCAGTAGACTCTTGGTTGGTTTGTTCCACTGAAGAGTTTCTTGTTGCTAATTCTTCCTGGCCGACTGGATGGCCATTTGATCTTCAGTATGCAGCCAGCAAAGTCAGCAGTTGGTAAAAGTCTGCAATGGCCGGTTGGAAATCCTTTTCGTGACTTACGCGCAGTGCAGGTTTCTGATCTGTATAGAAAAACTGGCTGACTGACTTCACATATTTTGTGTTGAATAGAATCCAAATCTTGTTCTTTATGCTGACTGAATCAGTGTGGAAGATTTCCAAACTGGTTTCAGGTTGATGAAAGCGTGAGTATCTTGCCTTTCCGATTCTGGCTGGCTGGCCGACTTTGATATCTTTATCCGTTCCGCTGGCTATTGGTTGAAACTGTGCATCTTGGATACGTGAAGGAAGCAACCTCTTACGAAGCTCTCCCGTTGATGGTGATTGGTGCTGGTTGTTGCTCTTGGTGGTGGTTGGTTATCTTCATCACCTTTATCTTCTCTATATTCACCTACAGTCCTGTCTTCGCTGCCTGCCTCGCCTCTTCTACCAGTTTGTTGGTTTTCACCTGTTGTAACAACAGAAGACAAGGGCTGGCAACAGATCGTTTTATTACGAAAATCAACACGTATTTATATATATTTTATGTGCATTAATAAGGCTTATGCAAGCAGAAAAAGGCAGTCTTCTGATTGGTTGTTTCTCGGAAGTTAAGCAGACAAACACAGTCTTATGATTGGTTGTTTTCGATATTTCTCGGAAAGTAGAGCCATCTATCTGCGAATCATATTTGTCCACATTTAAGTTTGCTGTGATTGGTTGTTGAAACAGCCTTGTTCATATTTTCTCACGGCCCATATTAGTGACCTAGACATTAACGTAGATTAGTGTCAACCAATCGGCTAGCAGCCTGCTCTCACCACACTGTGAGTCTTCTAGTTTGTGTGGCATTAAACATTATTGTTTTGCTCTGACTAAGTTATATTCAGCGAATTTATTTAAACATTACAAATTTGAAAGACTGATTAATGATTAAGGAATATTCTTTCGGTTAAACTCATCATCAGGTTCTACATTTACGTGACCATAATAATGAAAGAAATATTCTTATTAACAACATAATTTTTTTTAAATCACATTTAATCAATAGTGTCGTTCGATTAAAATTCAAAATCATCATTAGGAGATAATCTAAATTAGCATGACGCTAAACTGAATATCAGATAAATTAAGGGAAGCAACACAGAGTTTATTAATTTATAGGGCTAGACAGTAGGCCAGGGTAGCAACAATGACTTAACTTGTTACTTTTGCAAAGAGGGCTCCGGTTGATTTAAGTGAATTACAGTGACCTCTTCTGTCTGGATTGTTCGGTATCTAGAAGCCATTACTAATTTATTTGATACCCCATAGATGACAAAGAAAAAATCATCAATACCTGTTCGGGCAAGATAGATCTAATATTGAACTGTTGATAGTTTTAACAGCACCCATATTTAGCTACAGTGGTGGGTGTTCCCAAGCACGAAAATTAATTTCCCAGAGCTACGGCTAATCTCAGTAACTCCACAGGAACAGCTGAATTGATAGATAAGATGAGTGGTGGCTAGACCAGATACTGTTTCGGAATAACAAACAAACACCATTTGGGAATATCTGGTCTTTTATCCTAATTACTTTTTTCTATTCCTTTGAGTTTTCAGCAAAACATAGGGCTTCAAGCTAGAGCTCAGAATTTTCAGCAGCAATGGTGTTTTTTGCTGGATGGGGTTGCTGGCTTCATGCCCCACCCACACTCTTCACAAGGCTTACTGCCCGCTAAGCGAGGTAAAGGTGTACGTCGGTCGGGGATCGAACCCCGGATCACTTGACTTGGTTGACCGGTATCCTAACACTGAACCACCGACGCACACACACCCTACCACAATATCCAATTTCTATTCTTATATCAATGAAAGGAAGAATGTCAAAGTTAGAATCAAGAAAGCAAGACAGACCTTCGTTACTCTATGATCAGTGTGGAGATCCACGAGAAAAAAAGACATCAGTTTTCGACAAAGATATCGAATCAGTTATCCCATTATATGCTTCAAAGGCTTGAAATGTACGTTACAAACAGCATTTTCAGCACAATGTAGACTTTTATCAACAGCTGCATTCACTGGTTAGATACTGAAGATTAGATGGTCAGAAAGGAAAGAATTAGCAGCAAGGAACTCTGTCTTTGTTTGTTCTTTGTTTGGTGTGCCTCAGTAGCATACTTATCACTCCTGCCCTGTGACACGGCAGCAGGAAGCGCGGTCGTTGTTAATCCGGGCCACGGCCGATCCGGCATGAAATTTTGTGAATTTGTTTGAATCATGGTATTGGATGGGGTAGCTGCTTTTTGTTTAACCGCTATCCAAACAACCTGCCTGGCATGGTAGAACCTCAAGAGACATAAGTCTCAGCCAGTATAGCTTGATTAGGTCATTGCGGTGTTCAAGCCCGACCACCACATCAAGGTAGCAGCTTTCGGTCGGGGCAAGGAACTCTGGAAACGAAACGGCCAAGATGCTATGGCTGACCCGACAAATACATGGGAGGAAATGGAGATGGGTTGGACATGCACTGAGAAAAATCATACACCAGACCCTCCACAAGGGAACCTGAATCGTAAGTGACGAGTTGGACGTGGGCATGAGGGTAACATATGAAAGGGAAATAA